CGTTAAACGCCAGCATCCCGTAGTTTACTCGCGCAGCGCTACCATGCGGCAGCAGAAAGAGCGCGCGCTCAACAGCCTGAAGAGGGCGTTCGCCCGGGCACTGAAAAAAATAGAGGAGGCACTGGTCAGAGCGGTCGGGAGCGCTCCGAGTAAGAGGCTGATGCTCTGAGTAAGAGGCTGATGCTCTAAAAGGCCCAACCGAATACGCCATTACAAACCAGAGCTTACAAAGACATGGAAAACAAACTTTGGCACTTGCTTGAAAGAGCTACTGGTTTCTCAGAAATGCTGGATTCAAGCTGTTTGAGGGAAAAGAGAAGCCCCCCCAAAAAAAGGGGGGGGGGGGGAGACTGCAGCTTTGCACATTTAAGGTGTGGTTAGTTATACCAGCACGATGATTCTTCAGTGGTGGGTAGCCTGTCAAAAGCAATAACGACAGTCTGATGCATCTCCTTCGATACTTGGGTTGTGGACCCAAACTGCAAGTCTGCATCTGAGCATGAAGCTGCCAAGGTCATTAAGTTGGTCTAAGACAACATAGAAAACCAACAGCAGTTACACAGAGGCCCCTGTGATCAGTGGGTTTGACTGCAATAAGCAACTCCCAATAACATATGTCTAACATTTGCCTGTATGCTCATCACAACTCCAAACAATTTCAGTAGTACTAGGTGTAACTGGTTGTTAATAATAAGTAAAGTAAGTGGAAAGCAAAGGGAAGAAACTCTCATTGCCTATCTAGAGAGGCTGATGCCACAGTCATGTTAGAGGGGTAAACGTATCATGTGTCTACATAAACTATCCTTAAAAAAAGACGATTAGGCTGTAAACGATTTGGCACTGTAAAGACTGCGCCTGTGCACTATGGTTTCAGGGGAATCGAAATTTTGGGTAGAGGCCAAGATCAAACAGCTTGAGAGCTGTATTGGAAAGAAAGTGGTGACTGTGTCAGCGATACTTCTAATAAGCTATTTCAATCAGAAATGTGTTTTTACAATAGGTGGCTGCCGTGCTAGGCTAATGAGCGGATTGTAACTGCATCTGCTGTTGTCCTAGAGCTATATAGTGCTACGTCCTTTTATGAACAAACAAGTTAAAGCTTACCATCCGTGTCATCATACCTCTCTCTGTTTTGGTCATTATTTTGTCGTCAAGATGTTTAACAGTAAGTACCAACTATGCCAAACTTGAGTTCTTCTTAGAAGAATGATAACACAGAAATTTTGTACCTTTTTTTTATGCTGCAATAAGTAGCTAACAACATGATAATGAGTGAAAATTAGTGCAACCAATAAAAGGGGACAGGAGAGAGGACATAGAGCACCAAACTTTCAACCAGGGGATCAAAGCCTGTGTCCTCTCTTTTGTCCTTTACTGTCGGTTGCACAGATTCACACTCATAATCATGTTGTACCAACAAGCCCAATTCTACAGTTTTCTTAGCTATCAACACACTTATCATGGCCGAAACCTTGTTTGCTGAAGCACACACCAGTTAATTATTTGAAGGATTTTTCGTTTCAGCTTCGGAGAGTGCTGAGAGAAGTGGGACTAAGGTGGTTTCTTTTTTTGTACCCACAGCTTGCCATGTGAGCACAAAAAAACAGTACTGCACACACTGTGTGTGTGCTCACATGTACACACTGTGTACGTGTGAGCACCGCATCGACAACTGCAGAAGAGAGCACATGCAAAAAGCATGGTAGCAAGCAAACTAGTAATGTGGTTTTCTTTACGTTAAAACGAAGTTGATTTCCATATCACAATGTGCTTCGTTCTGCTCTCAGTTGTGCAGCGAAAGCTTTCAATTTAATTTGAAGTATTTTCTAGGTGACATAAGCCCCTAATATTCTGCAGATGATGTATGTGCTGGTGCGTATTCATAAATCTATCTAACTGATTATCTCAGATTCAAAATGTTCTATCAGTACTTGAACACAAGACAAGTTGTGGCTCAGGTGGGTAATACACTCGTTTACTCATTCTCTGAGCACTGAAGCAGCACTACTGCTGGCACAATGCATAGCATGAACATTGGCGATTTACCAACATTACTACTATCCTCCAGAGTTTGCATCAATCAGTCATCCTGGAACCATTCTGAAAAGTTTAGGTACATGAAGCATATAGTATTCAAAGAAGGGTGATTCCACGAGAGATCGACACGGGTCGAAAAGTTGATATTTTAGATTTGATTGTTTATTTTATATTTTGTGCACATACCACCCAGTAGTCTGAAAGTGAACTTTGTTTATTTAATTAACTGCATAGTTTAGGAGGAAAAAAATATTGAACTTATTTTGTACAGAGTGGCCGATTTCATCCCTCGTCATTTTTTAAAGTTAACAACAATAGAAAAACACAAATGTTAGCTCGATGAAGACAATTGTTTTCTAGTAAATCTACACCTAATGAAGAGTGAAGCAGGGTTGTTTAAAGCTTGTATGCTGAAGCAAAGTGTTTCTGAAAAATGTCTGAACAGGTGACATTTTTTATAAGTTGCTTGATTTGAGATTATTTTTCCTAAGTTAAACCAGCTAGTGCTTCGCAACTTGGTGACCTATTACAACTTAATATTTACAATATTGCCTGTCAATACTGTTGCTGTACCTCAAACAGATAATTTTATAAATGGCCTCTAACTTTCAAATTTGTCGACAGTAAAGCCTATTGAAGAATCAATATTTAAAAAAACCCATCTTTGATATTTTTTAAAATATCATAAATTGTTCCTCACTGATGATAGAAAAGAATATTATAAACACATTTCATTATATTATTTTCAGCGACAATATTACGGGTGGAAGTTCCAGCTTTTCGAGCATGCACTTAGGCGATAAACACATGAGAAATCGGGCTAAAAAAGTGGGCTTGAGCTTCTCAGTCCTTTGCTTTGCTTCAGCATGCAAGCTTCAAACAATGCTGCTTCACCCTTAATTAAGCGTAGATTTACTAGAAAAAAATTGTCTTTACCAAGCTAATATTTGTGTTTTTATATCATTGTTAACTTTAGAAAATGACAAGAGACGACATTGGTTCCTCTATACAAAATAAGTTCAATATTTTTTCCTCCTAAACTATAGAGTTAATAAAAAAACAAAGTTCACTTTCGGGCTACTGGGTGCTATGTGCACAAAATATAAAATAAACAATCAAATCTAAAATATCAGCTTTTCGACCCGTGTCGATCTTTCGTGGAATCACCCAGAAGTAAGGAGTTGCCAGCATCTATGAAAGTGGGATATTAGACACCCTATCTGCTGATATGTGTCATGAAAACTAATTATAATAATTTCTGGGGTTTATTTAAAGTCCCCAAAACACCATATGAATATAAGAGATCCTGTAGTGGAGGGCTCCAGAAATTTCAACCAATTGGTGTTCTGTAACGTGCACTTATATCCAAGTACTCCGGCTTCAAGCATTCTCGCCTCCATCAGCCATAAAAACAGGTAATCAAGCTATTTAGGTTCAATGTGATGTGATAAAATCCCAGCTAGGAAAGATAATCACAGACAGTGAGATTAACTAGAAAAATTACAAGAAATGAGCACAGCTGAGTCCACTACAGCTGGTACTCTCAAAGAGTGATATATACTCTAGCTGTTACAACAAGGACTCAGCCACCAAGCACAGTGTGTGTGGTGAACGTGGAAGCAGTGATGTTCCGTACTATGCCGAATAATTACTATTCAGAGACATGAAAATTCCCTATTTTGTGGATTTTTCCTGGCAAATGTTGAGAAAATTCCCAGCATATTTTCTTACACAACAATACTGATTTCCGCCCCCATCCACGCACACATACTATATTACAAGTGTCTCACGTACCGTGGACTTTTGAAAATACAACTAGCCCCTCCACTACCGCACAACAAAGGCATGGCATTATTAATTCATATACTATTAGTAAACTGCACATTGTGGGCTTCAACTCTAACACCAATAGTGAACTAGAAATCGCTCCGCATAAATATCAGAAACAAATCTCAAAGGCTAGTCTTGCGTAGTGCATGCGCCAGAACTGATTACAGCAGGTGAAGGCGCCCTGCGACCAATAATTATCGGTTGTCATAGAAGAATTTAATCACTGCGTGAAAGGCACTAAGTCCAAAACGACAAGGTAAATTTTTCTAATGAATTTTCTACATTGACCCACAATGCTGGCTGACAGATACAACATGCCAGAAACTTGCTTACTGGTATCAATATATGTTCATTGCTTATATTGTTGCTTAAACTAAACTATTTCTACTCTCCTACTTCATCCCCTTGTTAATGCTTACTGAGGCACCATTAGAAACTAAAATTCAGGGCTCATAATGTTACAGTAAGTTGCCTTAGAAAGCCAACAACAATGAAGTTTGGGACAATATAAATAATCTAGATTAAGATAGCAAACATATAAAGGAGCCTCTGCACAAAATTAAATGTTTGAAATACATGCTGAAGCATCACAAGAAGCTCACCACAAGAGCCATTTTATGATATCAAAACTGAAAAAAATGCTGCCACTACCATTTGCTGTGAGGGATGCAAGAATGTGTGGCTCATCAGCATAATAACTGAGATAAGGCAGCACCCTTCGGTTGTCAGCGTTGTGCTGAAACATTTCAGAAGAAAGCCCACAGGGAATCATAACAACCACCAGCTGCATGTGTCGTCTACTTAGATGCTCTTTAAAGGCTGTTAACAAGAAAGCTATACAACTACCAGCCCTGCGGCTTACCAAGAATGCAAAAATAGTATATAGTGATTATTTATAACAAACTCAGTCAACGTAAAATTACATTGCAGCTGGCCGGTGAAAAGCCATATTGTACTATTTTTTAAACATGTGGCATATATGCAGTCATATAGATACCAGTGACGTACTCCTGGAGTGTTCCATTAGACTAAATGGTGTGAAACAGTGTTCACTACATAACTAATGTAAATGCAAGGACCATTTATTTTACTAATGAGCTTACAGAATCCTGTGTTGGACTATACTGACATACCTTTCGTAACTTGACAATTTTTCTCTTAACAGCATGCTCGTTCAGAAGATCAGCCTCTGTGATGTACAAAACAGCACTGTTGCTTGATGGGTAGAAATCAACCATTCCTAGGTGGTCTGACACTACTGTTTGTAGCAATCCTGTAAGAGAAAATGAATTTGATACTTTCTCATCGAAAGTTTCAGAAGTTGCAATAATAGATTTTTCAAAGACTGTAGAGAGAGACTGTCACAGGAAATGCTTCTATCCTGTAAGAGAAAATGAATTTGATACTTTCTCATCGAAAGTTTCAGAAGTTGCAATAATAGATTTTTCAAAGACTGTAGAGAGAGACTCACAGGAAATGCTTTAATGAGAAAAGTTTCTAGAAAAGGATTTGCTTTGTTAAAGGAATGATACACTAGATGGCAGATATACACTCAAGCCTCACCACGATCGCTGGATCACAGAGCGCACGGGTATGGCCTGCCGCGTGCTCCAAAACCAGTGTGACAGGTCTGTTTCACGAACCATCGCTGCGGCGCCACCGGGGGGAGGCGCCGCAGCACGAGTTTTTGCGAACGTCCATAGAATCGCATGTGCGGCACGCTTGCGGTAGTCACGATTGAGCGCTAGCATCTTTGTGTGACCCACGAAATCTTCTTTTAATATCCGCCTGGCGTGCGCCCACCATGTAATTGTCGACCTTGCTTTAAGATACCTGCAGCCCTTGCAAATTTTTGGTATTTTCTTACCCGAAATGGATACTTGCACACCGATCAGTCTTTGCGGAAGTAAGAATTGTGAGCACATTAAACTCGGATCCTACAAGATCACAACTAACACATCTGGAAGAGCTACACCTTTCCAATGCATCTAAATTGATTATAGTAACTGTGAGTATGTCGTTTCAGAAAGCCTTGCTTCAGATTTAATTATTTTATTTAAAATAAGTAACGTCAGCAATTTCAGTTCACTGTTCCTTTAAATTAACACAAAATAAGATAGACTTTTTACTTCCTTCAAACACGTCTATAGTATTCATACAATACAGTATCGGATGCAACAGCCAAGAAATATACTTAGCATGTGCGCAATTTCATAACAGTGGACTCGAGCCTCTTTGAAATTTCAGTGACTAACTTCCATGCTGGCAATTGGGCGAGCCGTTATGAAGTGAATAATATGAAAACTGAGATGAAAAGAGCAATGAAATGCTGCAAAATGCAAACACAACTGCTTGCGTTCCTGCGCTTTTGAATGTTTTCGTCTTTTTCCGTCCCGACATTCTTATGATAATGCAACTAATTGAACAGTGAACACATAATCGGAACAAAATGCGTCAAAATATTTTAGTATTTAGAGCAGATCCTAGAATTAATATTTTTTTACTTCTTTATACCTGTGCATAATAAAACGACTTGACAATTGCACCAGAGTGTGCGTCCAACTTTTGGCTTCTGTGTCTATCAACAATAAAACCATCCGTTCGGTTTTTTCATGTTAGGCTCTCCACGGGCACTGGCGAATCTCAATAGCACTTCAACACGCTTGTCTTCCAGCAGTCTCCACAATGTGGTTCTGTCATTTATTACTGCTTATTTGTGCTACTATTTATCATTGACAAATTGGCACCTGTGCTCGCTCAAACGTAGGTACGTCACGTGCACTCCACTGCCCTACAGCGGCCGTGGTTTGGCGATGTGTAAACATAATAACGTGGTTGTCACTTGATTTGGCTATATATATATATATATATATATATATATATATATATATATATATATATATATTGTGAGCGCCGACTATGTACTCTGTCTTCATCTGTATAACCCAACCATTGTAGTGATCATCATCGTAATGTCACGCGGGCTCGGCCTCTTTGGCTCGTGCAGCTGGATTAAAAATATAACCTGGTTACTGCCGTACCGGATGTGGTCTCATAAGTGGTGGAGCGTGCTTTGGTTCCCACGTCCTCCTGCTCTACCCATCATCCCTGGAGCTCCGTTCTGGTCGACGGCTGTGCCCTCAAGCAACAGCGATGGCAGAACTCAACGCGTTCGCTGCTACAACCGCTCCTTCTCAGCCACTTAGGCTTCACTACACCGTGAGTACCTCTCACCGAGACCCTCCGGTATTTTCCGGCCTTCGCGGCAAAGACGTCGAAGAATGGCTGGACAGTTATGATCGAACCAGTGTTTGTAATTATTGGGACGAGGTGCACAAACTGCGCTACGTTCCTTTTTACCTCAATGGTGTTGCTAAAACCTGGTATTACAATCACGAGAGCGACTTCTCCAATTGGTTGGCCTTCACAGGGCATCTCCGTCAGGTATTTGGCACGTCTGCAGGATGCTCTGTGGTAGCGAAACAGAAGCTCGCAACCCGCATCTAGGGGAACGACGAACCATATACATCCTACATTGAAGATGTTCTGGCTCTCTGTCACCAAGCACAAAATGACATGACGGAGGCCGATCGCATCCGATGCCTACTGAAAGGTATCAACTCTGTGGCCTTCAATGCTCTCGTTATCCAGAACCCAACTACCGTCCGGGACGTCATCACCACATGCCAACGCCTGGATGCGCTTCATTCCATGCGCCTTCCACACGCCTCCTGCGACGCTCGCTTTATCGGAAAGCATGAATTGCGAGCCCTTATCCGCACAATTGTCAGAGAGGAACTCCACAGCCTTATTCCGGGCAACCCAATCATTGCAAAGAGTATAAAGTTGGGCATGTTGGTAAGACATACTTAATCGACGTAGCACGTTTTGAAACATAGGACAACAGAAGGGACAGAAGGGAGCACTTACTTCCAACAAAATTTTATTTCAAGGAGCGTACATATATATGCTCATGAAATTCAAAAACAACAGACAAACAGATGAAAAACCCTCTATTGCCATACGCTAAAAACTTATGATCTCAAAAACGACAATTCTTTTTCACAAAGGCCGAGAGAAGGATTGCTGACGCAGTTCAGCCCTAATCTACTAATCCTTTCTGCTTCAATAATCTCCCTTGTCACTTTATTTCTGTTTTTTCCTACGATTACCGTACCATGAAAAAGTGGTTTGCAGCCACACGTGCTGCAACGTAGTGCCAAAAAACCATCTCGACCATTTTTTACGTTCCAAGCGTGTTCGCGGAGCCAGTCATTAATACACCTGCCAGTTTGTCCTATGTAGTGTTTACCGCATGAAAGAGGTATCTGATAGATTACAAATTGCGCGCATGTGACAAACAGTGTTAAGTGCTTTTTAGAGCATCCCGGTTTTGCATGTGAAACAACTTTCATACACAAGTACGAGAGGTTTTTCGGGGCAGAAAACACCACCTTTACATTGGCCCGCTCTCCAACCTTTGTCAAGGTTGGAGGTTTTTCAACCTTTTTTTCGCCGTACTTCCAGCCGACAAGGAAGGAGGGTTTGCCGTTCTTTCTTACAAGCTTTTCAGTTCTAAAGCAAGTGAAGCTGTTTCATCTGTTTTCAACTGTTACGACAATGTTGTTCTTTCTAAAGTCAAGTCTCAGGCAAAAAAGATGTGTGAAAAGCTCGACCTCAGTAAACTTGTTAGTGACATAGCAAATAGCAAAAAAGATTGTCTTGAAGTATTCTTCAGTGCGAAAACACATAAGCCTGAAAAACCATTTCGTGTTATCGTTTCAGAAAATGGCACGTGGCAAAAAAATGTTGCGTTGTTTTTACAAAGTAAGCTTGGTCTATTAACAGTAGATGACCTATTCTCGTGAAAAATTCCCATCAAGTTCTTGATTTCGTCCGATCCCGTTCGAATCAGCACATGTGTGGTTTTTTTCATTGATGTAAAAGATCTGTACTATTCGTTGCCTCACAAATCGATTCTTAGTTGTGTAGAAGAGAGCATTGACAAGCTTGGTAGCATAGCATTTCAAAATAGTGCTGGTATATCGCCTAGTAGCTTTTTAGAATTTTTATCCTTTTATTTGCAATCTACTTTTATTCAATAGAATGTGAAGCCCCACCTTCAAAAGGAGGGTATTTGTATTGGATCATGTATTGCTCCAATCTTAAGTAATTTGTTTTTAGCCAAGCTCGACAGAACCGTTTCTGGTGACCTTAGTGACAACCGAATCATGCGCATCTTTAGATTTGTTGACGACTTCCTCATTCTTGTTGACTGTGACCCCATTTTTTTGTGCCCTAGATATCCTCAACTTCATCAAGGAGCGGTTTAGTCCTTTTGTTTTAACCCATGAGTTACCTGTTAATAACACTCTCAGATTTTTAGATATCGCTCTCATTTTTCACCTAGACCACATTTGTTGGATGTACAAACCGAGGAGTAACAGACCCTTGCTTCCGTACCATTCCGCCCATACTAAGCTCGTAAAATGAGGCATTGTAAATATGTACTTTAGTAACGCCTTGCAGAAGTCTTGTCCACATCTGATGGCAGCTTGTTTCAAGGAACAAGCAGAACGACTTCTGGACGATGGCTACCCCTCTCACGTACAGGTTTCCGTCGCGGGAATTCTGGTCAAGAAGCTTCAGCCCTTGTAACAAGCTCTCCCTCATGTTGAGCCAGTAAGACGTCAGAGGCTGGCCGTAGTGCCTTATCTGCATGGAATCTCCACAACTTGAAAAAGGTTGGAGAGCGGGCCAATGTAAAGGTGGTGTTTTCTGCCCCGAAAAAGCTCTCGTACTTGTGTATGAAAGTTGTTTCACATGCAAAACCGGGATGCTCTAAAAAGCACTTAACACTGCTTGTCACATGCGCGCAATTTGTAATCTATCAGATACCTCTTTCATACGGTAAACACTACATAGGACAAACTGGCAGGTGTATTAATGACCGGCTCCGCGAACACGCTAGCAACATAAAAAAATGGTCGAGATGGTTTTTTGGCACTACATTGCAGTACGTGTGGCTGCAAACCACTTTTTCATGGTACGATTATCATAGGAAAAAACAGAAATAAAGTGACAAGGGAGATTATTGAAGCAGAAAGGATTAGTAGATTAGGGCTGAACTGCGTCAGCAATCCTTCTCTCGGTCTTTGTGAAAAAGAATAGTCGTTTTTGAGATCATAGGTTTTTAGCGCATGGCAATAGAGGGTTTTTCATCTGTTTGTCTGTTGTTTTCGAATTTCATGAGCATATATATGTACGCTCCTT